CCAGATAGTGGAATGAAGAGTGGATCGTATGTTTTTTGGTTGCACGATTAGTTTGTTGCTTAGAGAAAGTGTTCTGGTTGGATTGATGAGAATGAAATGGAATTGCAGACAGCAAATAACAGACGTGAACAGTGAACATATCAATCGAGCGTTTTGCGCGTTGCTGGGTATGATTCGCGATCATGTTGGTATCGATAACGCACCGTGGTTATGTAGAGTGAACTGCTTCGCCGTACAAATAATTCCACATGTCACCTGCGATCCGGTCAAAGAATACATGCTTCCGGTTGCGGAGCGTTTGAGGAGATTGGCCGAGATGGCCTACAAAGATGAAGAGCACATGCGAACGCATCCCGATGATGCAGACGAAGGAACAGTTGCTGAGGTCAGATCGGACTGCTCATCCCCATACTATTGCTTGAATATTTACTGATGATTATCTGACGCTCACGGATTCATTTAGTCAATCAGTTCATTATCAATAAAAATAACTCATTAAAATTAATATGTGGAAACGATTCTGCAATCATGCATTGTTGAGAATGCCCTCGTTTGTTTAGGATAACGCTCGTCTGGTACGAGACGTCTATGCATATTTTCCGATTTTGATGAAGTATTGTGATCTGCATCGTGCACAGTGGTTGAAACAACCATCTTGGGAGACCGATGGAATCTACGAGAATGTTGCTGTCATATTCAAGGTGTTTTGCGCTATTCAGTTGTGATCTTGACTTGATCAAGTTGATGTTTCCACTTCATGCATTCAGCAAAAAATCATATAAAAGCTAACAAATTGTTGATGAGCAAATACGATACAATGAATGATAATAGCAAGCAGGAATAAATAGATTATTAGCAAAACTATGAGGTTTCAGATATGGTCGCTGTCTCAACATTTCAAACGTGAGGAATTGAATTTTATGGCGCAGTACGAAGAAGGCACTCTTGCGGTGGGAACAGGTGAGATGAAAACTGGTAAGGCGGCAATCGCAGAAAGGAAGAAGAAACGACGTGAGGGACAGGTATTGAAACAGTTTTGATGGAACTCTTCATCTTATGTTATGTTGTGACAATCGTGTCTACGTCTTAAAGTTGCGATTAGCTTAACTAAATCCTCCGTTTGACCGGAGTCCTTTTAACAGAACAACTGATTCCTCGATTTGAAGGCTTCCAAGTTATGAGAGGCAGAATTGATCAGCAATCTTATTGATAGATCAGTTGACGAAGGAACTGATCTATGTTGTTTTGAGGGATGATCATGCGACCGGCTTTTACAGTTATTTGAAGTAATTTTGGAGAAGTGACTTGAATCAGATCATTATAAGTTTATGTGTGAGTAAAGGTGAAGAGCCACTGCAATTTTGTAAAAGTTACTGTGGCTACGTTACTGGTGTGAGTGGATTAACTTACTGTGATTACTGCGATTAGGAGAAAAGATTAAGAAATGACCATAATATTGGCAAGAAACGCGAATAAATCACGTTCTG